GGAGGGAGGGAGGAAAAGAAGGGAGGGGGAGGGGGAAGGGAAGGATGGAAGGAAGGTGGGAGGGAGGGAGGAAAAGAAGGGAGGGGGAAGGGAAGGGAAGGATGGAGGGAAGGTGGGAGGGAGGGAGGAAAAGAAGGGAGGGGGAAGGGAAGGGAAGGAAGGAAAGCATTATTAACAGCTAAGAAGTTGAGACCATAATACTATCTTTAAGCAAAGCTGGGCCCTTATTGGTTTTTATTACACATTATTTGCTTTAGGGAATCTTCCAGCATATAATTTCTCAGTTTCCCTTCAGGAAAGTAACCGTCTTTCTGGGACCCTCCAGAGGAGCCTCCTAAGTGAGCTGGCAGGTGAAAAACAGCCAAGACACAAGACACTTTCTGAAGCAGAAAGATCCCCTTTCCTCCCCATGCCAATTCTGAGGTCACCTAAGGCAGGAGTCTCCAACCTTGGCAACTTTAAGACTTGTGGACTTCAACTTCCAGAATTCATCAGCCAGCAAGCTGGGTGAGGAATTCTGAGAGTTGAAGTCCACAAGTCTTAAAGTTGCCAAGGTTGGAGACCCCTGACCTAAGGTATCATCCAGGCTTTTCCAAAAATGGGACCTTCCACGTATCCTGCTGTTTACAACTGCCAGAATTCCCATTCAACACATGAAGGAAACCAACGTGGAAAAGACTGTCCTAGGTTGATGGGTTCTGGAACTGGGCAGAGATCTTCTCTTTTTCTGTGAACAGAACAGTCAAAAAGGAAACTTGTATGCAAAGGTGCTGCTATGCCAAGTGGTTGCCATGTAAGGACCTAAGAAATGCCCTGGAGCCATCTCCATCTATGGCCAACCACATCAGAGTAGAGGAACAGCGATGTGTTCCTAAAGTCTCCTCAGCACCTTGGACAGATCCGTTCCTTCTGACCCAGAGAAGGCCAGAACAAAGAGAAGGACGAGGGCTGTCAGTAGTTGAAGGTTGTCATAGGGAAGAGGGCATCAATTTATTCTCCAAAACACCAGGGGGTAGGACAATAAGTAACAGAGGGAAGATTATCCGAGGGAGATCCTATCTAGAATTAAGGAGAAATTTCATGGTGTTGTTAGTTGAGAAGTCGTGTCCGACCCATCGCGACCCCATGGACAACATTTCTCCAGGCCTTCCTGTCCTCTACCATTCTCTAGAGTCCATTTAAGCTCATGCCTGCTGCTTCGGTGACTCCATCCAGCCACCTCCTTCTCTGCCATCCCCTTCTTCCTTTTTTTCATCCCTTCCTTTTTTCTTTCCT